TAATATTTTATTTAAATAAACTTTTATCTTCTTTACCCAAAATTATTCGCTAATAACAAAATCAATTCGTTGATCCCTATTCATTCTGATCCACGCAAAAACAAAAATAATCACCAATTAAAATACGCTCTCCCGAATTTAATCGGTGACAATACTCTCTTATTGTTACTCATATATTAATGTTATCTAAAACAGAGAGAATCAATTTTTTTGTTATTCATGCTCTCTTATTATTACCTATATATTAATATTATTATCATTGATATCAGAATTAATAAACCATGGACGACAGATGATGATAATAATACTATAAAAAATTTGGTATGGAAAACTGTACGGAATTTGCATGAAATTTTTTATAAGACCTAGTAACCAGATATTCCACTGCTTCTCTTCTGCACCCTCTGAGTATCATCTAAGATCTGTGAAACTGATGCACCTGCTAAACAAGAAAATTGACATTGAAAGTGATGAGTGGGGTGGTGAGAGCAAGTAATCCTTGCTGTGATGAGTTAGATTCATCATTAAGATTTGAGCATCTTGAGCTTCTGGTGAGGTTTCATTTAAAGATATACTTTCAGGCAATTCTCCTTTTTTTACCTACTCCTCATAAATTATTATTTTTTAGTATGAGTTTGAGAACCAACAGTATTTAAAGATGATGGATTTGATGATGATGTTTCTAGGCTTAGAGTAGGACTACAAATATAACAATCATGATTGGTGTGCTCTTTTTAATTCTGGATCAATAGCATATTTATATCTAGTTCAGGATTTATTCAGCTAATCAATTGATTTTCCTGCAAAAATAATCCAAAATCCCGACCTGTTAAAGCTGTGTTCACTCCAAAAAACGGTTCATCAAAGTCTTCTATGCCATTAATGAATTGAATGGAATTGGTGCAATATAAATGTGTTCCGAGTTACATTGCCATACTTTTGTGTCTAATAATATTTTCAAGATAAATTTTATTTTTAATTAATTATGACAAAAACATTTCATCAGGTATCATTTAATCATGACATCAATGACTCATTTTTGACATTTAACTTTAGTAATTGTCAATTAGTCATCATTTATCATTCTATTTTATTTTATTTTATTTTATTTTATTTTATTGGACAAAATCATGTTATTTGTAATACTTTAAGAAGTATAAATATGCTTGAAATTTCCTTCAGTGAAAAATTTAAAAACAAATGTTCTTTCAATAATAACACTTTGGTAATAAAAATAACAATTTTCATTAATTGATAAATCTGGCATGATTGATTGATTCATAACCCTTTCTGATGATTAATGGTTTGGCCAACATTTAATTATTAGTTAGGAACCCTTTATTAGTTTTACTATATTGCTAGTAGGGACGCCTCAAGTAGTGTAGTTGTATATTTTAGTTTAGTTTGAACATTATTGTGCCAGGTTTAGTGACTCTGCAATAGAGTTGAGTTTCTATTCGTAATAAAATTTTTGTTCGAATTATTCAAATCGTTCATTTTGTTTGAAATGTTATCACAATTCGTTTATCATTCAAATTGTTATTATCATTCGTTTATCATTCGAATTGTATCATTCGTTTATTATTCGAATTGTTATTATCATTTGTTTATTATTCGAATTGTATCATTTGTTTATTATTCGAATTGACATCATTCTTTATTATTCAAATTGACATCATTCTTTATTATTCGAATTGTATAATTTGTTTGTTATTATTCGAATTGACATCATTCGTTTATCATTCGAATTGTATCATTTGTTTATTATTATTATTATTCGAATTATCATCATTCGTTTATTATTATTATTCGAATTGACATCATTTGTTTATTATTATTGTTCGAATTGACATCATTTGTTTATTATTATTATTTGAATTGGCATCGTTTGTTTATTATTATTATTTGAATTGACATCATTCGTTTATCGTTTATCATTCGAATTGACATCCGAATTAACATCATCATTCGTTTATTCAAATATTTGTTTTGCTTGAATTATTCATTTTATTATTCGAATTTTTATTCGAACTATTTGTTTATTTGTTTTATTCAAATTATTCGAATCATTCGAATTATTATTATTCATTTATTTGTTTTATTTAAATTATCAATTGAATTATTTATTTTATTTGTTATTTGTTTATTTGAATTATTCGTTCATTTGTTTTATTTGAATTATCAAATTATTGAATTATTCATTATTCATTTTATTCAAATAAACTTCCAATGTAATTCAAATACTCAAATTCATAACAAGTAAAACAAATAATTTGAATAAACCCTTATTCAAATAGAAACCCTAACCAAGCAGTATAGTTGTCAGATTTGGTGACTCCAATAACTCTGATTGCATGCTTGCAATATTATTACAGTTTTACAACTTTAGGGTGTCAATGCTGAATTGTTGTAGTTCAGGTAAGATTTTAATTTTTTTTTAGATGTATTAATTAATATATTTTTTGTGATACATATTTGTGGCTGAAAAAAAAAAAAAGTTCTTTAAAAAAAAAATTTTTTTTACACAATGGAAAACATTTTGGATGAAAATAAACATCATGACGATACTTCTACTGATGAATATGATGAATATTCTAATAAAAGAGACAAATATTATGAGGAATGTCCAACATGCAAAAGATATAATACTCATTATTCATGGTGTCAATCATGTGATCCAAAGTTATTAACTGAAGGATGGACTAGTGGCAATGAAACATTAGATGAGTTGATTAAAAGTACGCAATTTAAAGTAACTACATATCATTATAATAATCATCTTCAATGGATCCCTTATAATGATTTAATAAATATTGAAAAGATAGGTGAAGGTGGGTTTGCAACTATATCCAAAGCTACTTGGTTAAATGGTTATAAAACTGTAAATGTTGATAACAAAAGAATTAGCAAGGATATGCCTGTGGCATTAAAAAATCTACATAATTCACAAAATATTGCTAATGAATTTCATAATGAGGTAAATTATTTATTTTTTTTATTTATTTTTGGATTTTTTAAATATTGATTATTATTGTTGTGATTAAATATTTTATTTGTTATTTTAGCTTGAAAATTATACAAAGTTTCATGACAAAGTTTATATTTATGGGTTAACACAAGATCCAACTACAAAAAAATATATCTCTGTAATACATTATATGGAAGATGGAAGTCTTCAAAATGATGAATATTCAAAGAAAAGAAACAAAAATTATGGGGAATGTCCAACTTGTTATAGATATAATACCTATAAGGCATGGTGTCAATCGTGTGATCCAAAGCTATTAACTGAAGGATGGACTAGTGGCAATGAAACATTAGATGAGTTGATTAAAAGTACTCAACTTAAAGTAACTGGGTATGATAATAATTGGTATCTTCAATGGATTCCTTATAATGATTTAACAAATATTGAAAAGATAGGTGAGGGTGGGTTTGCAACTATATTCAAAGCTACTTGGTTAAATGGTGAGAAAAGTATAGATTATAACTATGAAAGAACTAGTGTAGATAGGACTGTAGCACTAAAAAAACTACATAATTCACAGAATATTTCTGATGAATTTCTTAATGAGGTAAATTATTATTATTTTATTTTTCTATTAATTTCAGATTTTTAAATGTTGTTCTGAAATTCATTATATTTTTTTTTATATAGTTCAGAAATTATGTTACATTTCATGGTGAATCATTTATAAATAAAATTTATGGATTAACACAAGACCCAGCTACAAAAGAATATATCTTTGTAATGGAATACATGGAAGATGGAAGTCTTCAAGATTGTGAAGATCAATATTCAAAGAGAAGAGATGAAAAGTATGGGGAGTGTCCAACATGCAATAGATATAATACCATTTGGGCATGGTGTCAATCATGTAATCCAAAGTTATTAACTGAAGGATGGACTAGTGGCAATGAAACATTAGATGAGTTGATTAAAAGTACACAACTTAAA